GGCGTACTCAGATGTGACTCGGGCCGTGCTCGATGTGAAAAAAAGAGAGAATGTGTTGTGACGAGTTCCAGGAGACTGGATGAGATCATCCCAAGCGAGCGCTCTTATACCATCCCATCTTTCAGGGAGCTCTCCACCACGCCTACTTTACAACGTACACACCAGACTGGGCGCGGGCCGGGATGATTTCCAAGCCCGACCAAGGCTGCAGGAACATACCTTGAGCGACCAGGGTAAGGTATCGAAAGCACGGTAGGCACCGAGTAAAGGCATGGCAGGGTGGGTGGGTAATGGTCCACGAGGAGGATCCATAGTTTAAGGTACTTCGTCGAGGTGCCGGTTCAGGCGCAGCTCTAGCTGTGACAAGGCACCGGATATTAAGTCACACCTCCATGCTCGAAAGGAAACCACAGCCGAAAGCAGAAAGCTCCACGACGGCTTGGCACTCTGGCGCTGCGACGCCAGACGACGCGGACCAGCGGCGAGAAGACCGTGGGGATGACGTGTGTACAGGGCAGAGTGGGCGAGCTTGCCGCAAGACTGGGCACTGGAAGACGCTCGCGGGCAGAAGGGGATCGATGGCGTCGTTCTTTTTCGCCGCCGGGCAGTCCGAAAAGAGGCGCATGTTTGGGCCGGCCTTGCCACGACGGGAAGTCTAATGTGACATGGCCGGGCGGGAAATACTACCTGCCTCGCTTGGAGGCCCTGTCTGTTGACTTTACTCTCTCTAGGAAGAATGCGTGCCTTGCTAGTTGAGCACCGCCGATTCCGAGGTCGGCAACCGAGCCAGCGGGCCATCAGACGCCAGAAGACTGAATGAAGGTTTGCGCATTCTCCATGTTCGCATCCAATCTAGTTGTTGGTAAGCTCATGAACGTGCTGAGTGAGCACCCCCGCCTACCCACTCGAGAGGATACCTTACTTCGAAAGAACAGCAACCAGAGAGACGTGCGAGAGGGGGGAGGGGCGCCCGCCGCCGTTAAAGTGCTGATGGCCGCTGGTCGGGAGGCGCTTTAGGAGATAAACGCTGTTGATCCCTGCCCAATGCCATCTCGTGCCATGGCGCCCTGGCTTCAGCATCTGCTGTACTTAGTCAGTGTAGAGACGCTTGAATGTACAAACGCACGTGGGTCAAAGTGGAGGGTCATGTCAGGTTTCGGACTCTCGCGCTGACTCGTGGATGATGAAGAACCAGAGCTGGCGAGACATTTCCCTGATCAAGAAGGCCAAGTTTTCAACGGGCATTACGCGTAAGTGCCCTCCCTGCCATGCGCTACGACATAGTTCGAACTGTTCTGCAGACGTCGGAATCTACTTCGGAATGGAACCAAGTTGCATCATGAGTTCGTGACGTTCGAGAGGCGAGATCGTTCGTACCAGTTTTGCGTTTTGCTGTACAGGGCGTGCGCAGCAATCTCTGGCCTCGCATGAACGATTGTCTCTGATGATTCGCGCGCTGCCCTACTTAGATGAAGTGCTGCCCATTTCAATTGACTGTGCCCCTGGGGTGCTTTCGCCATTTGCTGCATGATAAGATTGATGGTGTGGGTAAGCACAGCACGATGTGTGCACTGCATCCAGGAATACCGGGGGAGGACTTGTTTCTCGTCTCTGCTTTCCTCGACAAGATACTTCTCTTCCTAGGTATGGTGCGTGACGGGTGTCCAGGGTACTCGGTCATACCCCCTTCTCGATCCCTTCATCTTAAACTCAAAACAGCACGACCTGCCGCCTGGCCCGCCTTTCACCCCCTGTCGCGTCGACACCACGTCGCAGAGAGACGGAAATCGCGGCGTGCTCGCCACGCTGTGTACGCATGAGACGACCCGCATTCTACTGCATTGACGGCGCCAATCGTTGAGACGGTGCGATAGGAATAAGCTCATGAAAGGCATCAGCCAGCCGCGCGCAGTACATCAAGCCACTGCCGGGCATCAAGGGTGCTTGTCGCAAACGGCACTTCGCTGCGGCCCCCAAGCCAGCCAAGCACCCGGCAGCCAGGACTTCCCAGAAGCCATGGCATGCCAGTAGCAGCGAAGAGTGTTCTTGTTCTTGTGAGAAGGGTCCAGGCCCCCCTCCGAAGGCCCAGATCAAACCCATCCCGATCCACTTGTCACTTTTAAATGACATGAGGGCGCGACTCATGCCGGCAGTAGCGCACGCAAGCGCCGACACGGACGGTGAAGACCGCTGAAAAGGCCGCTACTGAGGTTTGGGAGAAGAGGCATGGGAAGCTCGATGTGGGGGGAGAGAACTGTCCCTGACATGCTCAGCCGCGTTGCACGTCGCCAGCGCCGCCTGTCATGCGAAAACGCCGAACCGATCTGCTCGGGTTTTGGCGTTTGTGGAGCTTCTTTTGTTCATTCTTTCACTTGGTTCCAAGTCAAGCTTATTCAGGGTATCATTCATCGGTATCATTTTGACTCCGGCGGAATGAATGGAGGAGAGAAGGGTTGGATGACAAGATGAGCCGTCTCCCTCTCTGGCCTCTCATTCCACCACAGTTCTCCGGGTTTTCACGAATGAGGGGGCCACGACCCGGCGAAAACTCCGACGCTTTTCGCGCGCTGCTGTGCCTCTGCGTCGCGTCAACGTGGGAGACCATAACAGGCCAGAGTACATGTCCACACCCTGAAGAAAGCTGCAGGAAGGTTGCATCTTCAGCAGAACCGCATGCGTCTATCGAAATGACAATCTCACGCTCGATGATCCTTCCAATTGATGCCAATCCCCCCCTCCCCCGCGCGAGCCAAGACGACGCGAAAGCGGAGACTGAGACGGGAGAGCAGCATCCGGGGCGTGTGTAGTTCATCTTCTCTCCCGCGACGCGCATCTGGGTGGCCTTCTCTGGCTCGAAAGCCCAGCCGGCCGGGTTCTCTTGGCCCATCCGTCTCGTCAGTGTTGCATTCGTCTGGATCGATCACCCCGTGCTATGGTCACGCTGATCCCATCGCCGATGGAACATTATCAACTGAGGAAATGGGGATCTTAGCATCCCGATCTCGCGGCCTCAGGACTCAGATCTCACGGAGACACAAGAAGTCGAGGCGTCACCCACACGAGACTAGGGGCTCGGCGGGCGAGCTGTCGCGACAGGATCAGCGGGACGCCACGGCGCCGGTGGAACGGGTTTGCCATGGCAAGACATGCAGCCGGCATCGAATGCGATCGGCCTGTGTCCCGCGGACTCGGCGCGGCGAACCTTGCTACAGTGAGCGCGACGCTTTGTAGCACAAAAGTGACACGGCAGCCCACAGACGAAACGACATGCAGTGAAAAGGCCCGCCCGGCACATAACCTACGGAGAGGAGGCCAATGCAAATGTGGAAAGGACAAAAAGTTTATTTAACATCGCTCCAGAACGACGGTGAAATAAAAACGTATAGACAGCTAATAAAGGGCAGGATATGTATGTACAACAGAAAACAACATTTTTTTTCC